CCACTTCTAAGGGCTGTGATGATGCAGTCTGCACAAAATCGATGTAAACACTCCTTTGTAGTCATGGTATTCTTCAACATATCCAAACAAATTGGACACATTAATTCACTGTGTAGACTTCGAGGTGAAACCACGATTTCCAAGCCATCTGTTATTGCCTCCTGTAAAAAAGTCACTTTACGATTAAATGCTACTTAATTTGTTTTATTATGGACAAGTTCAAACATATAAAAGTATAGGAAATGGTAAAAATGAACAGATATATAGGTACCATCTCTACACTATTTTATACCTTTTCTTTTATCTGCAGACTTTTGTCCACCTGAAGTTAACAGGTTACCTTAACTTCTATTTCACTAAAACAGAGTTCCTTCATTTCATCTCTACCAAATTGATGAATCGTTATCTTCTCTCATATTCATGGAAAACTATACCTCTTCTATCAAAGGTACATTCCTTTGTACCTTCTAACAATATCCCGCTTTTAATTATTCTACTTGCTCTCAGGCTTCAGCATTCTAGCCCTCTCCACTGAATCAGCCTAGGAGACAAGTATCTCAACTGGGCTACTGCACAGTGAATTGGGAATGATGCACTCTAACTCCATCTTACAAATGCAACAAATTCAAAATTTAATCTCACATACCCCTTTTCAGCTTTTGTTCCATTTCTCTGCTTTCCTGAACAGCCAAATTTCTTTGAACAATCATCTATCCACCTTTTTTTCACTGCTGTCCTTTACTGGACCACATAGACATATCACTGTCATCTCCTTGGTTCATGATTGGAACCAATGATGAGAATGCATCCTGATTCCATTTAATCTTCAAACTAGTACAATCTGCTCAAGTGAATTGCTCCTGTCAATGTCATTAAATATATAGTCATCCCTCTGTATATCCACGTGGGACTACTTCTAGGAACCCTCACAGAACTAAAATCCTTGGACGCTAAGTCCTTTACATAAAATAATGTAGTATTTTCATATAACCTATGCACACCATACTCCTCGTATGTACTTTAAATTGTCTTTAAATTACTTACAATCCCCAATACAATGACTGCATCACTTCATTTGCATGGATTTAATGCAGTACTCCACAGATGGCAAATTCAAATTTTGTTTTCTGGAACTTTTGTGCAATTTTTCCCTCAAATATTTTCAATCTACAGTTGCTCGAATTCACAGATGTAGAACCCATGGATACAGAACGCCAAATCTAATATACACTCTTCTCAATCGTCATCTTATTTAATTTCTCAGCCGTGTTGAACACATTAACTGCATCCTCCTTTAAATACTTCTTTTAGAATTTAAATCCTCCTTCTCTCCCACTCTCCCATTCTTTTCCCCTTTTACTCTGATGGTCCCTCTCAGTTTCTTTCATGGGTTCCTTGTCCACCACCTCATCTCTAAATGCACCTCTGGATGAAGTTATAGGTCTTCTTCTCATCTCTCTGGGTGATTTTATCCATTCCCACTGCTTAATATGTGCTGACAACCTCTAAAATTTTATACTTAGTTCAGATTCTGGTTAGCAACTCTCCCTGCCTATCGTATCAGTCTCAAACTTAAAATGAGACCAGTTTTACGCGTGTTTGTACCCTACAAAAATTTTGCTCCTCTCCAGTCTTTCCTCTCTTTACCTTCTCAAAGGAGTCTTCCCTAGTACCTGTTATTACATGTTACAACGTGGAGGACTTGCCGTTTACATAATTTCTCATGTGTAATTTTAGGCATATTTACTCGCTTAATGCCTATAAAGTCCCTGGGCTGGCGCTACATCTATTTTATTCACCACCTTTCACCTAGTGCTTAACAAAGAATTATGCTAAATTACTATTAAACCAAATGAAGTATCAGTCACACACATGTAAGTCAGGACTGCTTGTACATAAATGTTATGTTCTATTTAAGTTTTCTTTTCCTTTTTTTGGCCAGGGCAGGGTTTGAACCCGCACCTCTGGTATATGGGGCCAGCGCCCTAATCCTTTGAGCCACAAGCACCGCCCTATTTAAGTTTTCATTTTCTAAAAATATATCTCATGTCTTTTTTTGAGACAGAGCATCAAGCTATCCCCCTGGGTAAAGTGCCATGGCTTCATAGCTCACAGCAACCTCCAACTCCTAGGCTCAAGCGAGTCTCCTGCCTCTGCCTCCCAAGTAGCTGGGACTACAGGCACCCGCCACAACGCCTGGCTATTTTTTGGTTGCAGCCGTCATTGTTATTTGGCGGGTCCGGGCTGGATTCGAATCCGCCACCTTAGGTGTATGTGGCTGGCGCCTTAGCCACTTGAGCCACAGGCGCCGAGCTGTATCTCATGTCTTATATTCCCCCTTAAATCATCTTAATCTGTATTACCTGAGGTGTTCGCTGTAATTCGTATAAACTGAGTTCCCATGTTTTGCTTAATGGTTGAGTTCCGTTGGTCTGCACAGCCTGAGACATCACTAGAAATAAAAAGGAGACAAAAACAATTTCAGACAGTGAAAGAGAAAGGTAAGGTCTGAATGCTTGTGTACCTCCAAATTCCGTATGTGGAAACCTAATCTCCAATGCAATAGTAATAAGAGGTGGGGTCTCTGGGAGGTGATTAGGTCAGAAGGGCTTATGAATATCTTATGAATGGTCTTAGTGCCCTTATAAAAGAAGCTTGAGGAAGCCTTTTCAATCTTGTAACCTGTGAGGACACACAGAAAGCACTACCTATGAAGAAGAGGCCTTTACTAGACACTGAATCTGCTGGTGTCTTCACCCTCACAGCCCCAAAGCCCTCCTACCTCCTGCAAACCCCTCCTGCAGCTTCAGTGATGCCACCTCTTAGCCATTCACCTTGGAGACGGCATTCCCATCCTAGGAGGGCACTAGCATTTCCATCAGAACCACCAACTGCCAGATCAACCTAGAGCTCTATGTCTCCTTACATATACTTGTTCAGGTCTTACTATTGTATTTTGTCCACAGTGACGTGGTTCTGTAGAACTTTAAAGTATATTTTCACCAATCTCATGAGAGGGAATGTGCTGAGAAAGTGATAAAGCTACACAACCAACACAGGGGGCCTAATCTTTCTTCAGGATGTCAAGAAACCAGACCATGACAACTGGGAAGGCAGACTGAACATATGGAGTGTGCACTACACTTGGATAAAAGCAGGAATTAGTCACTACTGAAACCATATGATCTGGTGACTGACAAAGCCAACACCCACTTGCATGAATTCACTGAGAGGTGCTAACTGAATGAGCAGGTGAAATCTATCAGAGAATTTGGTGCCCGTGTAATCACCTGCCAGAATCTGGCAGGGCAGAGTACTTCTTTGACAAGCACATTTTGGGAGACAGTAATGACAAGAGCTAAGCTGACTTTCTCATAGCCACAGGGGTGACTTCCCTGGTCACCAAGGCAACATACACATGTTGGGGTCACCTTTTCTGTAAGTTGTACCCACTTAAGTTCTATCATTTGTATCATTCTTTCAAATAAAGAAATTTGGTTTAAAACAACAAACTAAAAACAAAACATGAAAAAAGTAAAAAAAAATATTAAACAGTCTGTCAGATATTTTCTATGTGAAAAGAAAAGATATTTATGTTTCTGCATGGTCAGGGGGTCCTGAGCAAAGAAATCTATAGCTGAAACAATAGGTTTCCTATATGTAGGAAACTTAAAGATAACTAGGTAGGTGACTAACAACGGAGGTTCCTCCTCCTCCCTCTGTTTCCAAGGATTATTTGTTTATATTAGAGAGCAAAGATTTCTCTCCCTCTCTCTAAGGAAGGGGACCGAACATGTACTCAAGTTCCCAGATCCCTATTTTCTGGTTCCTCACATACTAAATGAATATCTAGGTTTCCTCACTCTGCTCCACGGGAAGAACTAGACAGAGGGGAACTGATGCAATTCCTGCCATAATTAATATGCCCCGGGTCCAGAAATTATATGTCTACTAGAAACTAAAACTTTAAGTTAGCAACTAACAACTGAAATTTTCATTTGAAATTTTCCCCATTGAAAATGTACTTATTTTAGTGTGTTGTTCAGGATCTTAGAGAAAAAAAAATAACGTGTCTGAACTACTGGAAAATTTGTATTTGCATATTAGTTCAGTAACATTATAAGTTAATCTTTGGAAAACTAGAGAACTAACCACTAATGTGAACATTCTTTCTGTCTTTTTCTTTTTTTTTTTTTTGGAGATAGAGTATTGCTTTGTCACCCTCAGAACAGTGCCATGGCATCACAGCTCACAACTACCTCACACTCTTGGGCTTAAGTGACCCTCTTGCCTCAGCCTCCAGAGTAGCTGGGACAATAGGCAGCTACCACCACGCCCGGCTCATTTTTTCTATTTTTAGGAGAGACAGGGTCTCCCTATTGCCCAGGCAGGTCTCAAACGCCTGAACTAAGGCAATTCACCCATCTTGGCCTCCCAGAGTGCTAGGATTACAGGTGTGAACCACTGGGCATGGTTCTAACATTATTTCTATACAAATATTAATTTTATAATACTGGCAAAGAAAGTAATGTAAAGGCTTCCTAAAACACAATTTCTATCCTATCGCTAAGCTATAATCCTTAAAATGGTTGGCAGGAGTATGAAAAACTGTAGTCAAGTCTAAGCAGCATTAAACAAGGTTCATATGAAAAAAAAAAAATAAAGACAATACCAGTACAGGTTCCTATTCAAGTCTCTGAGTCCCTAAAGACTCTCAAATCCCCTGACTGGAGCTACATTTGTCCCCAAGCCCCTTCAAATAAAAATAGATCCACTAAACCGTAAATTCCTCAAGAATAAGGGCAGAAAACTATTTTAGGGATCTCCTTAGGTTATAACAATATAACAAATGAGACAGCTAGAGAACGTGAGAGGTGATCTCTGGATCGGGACCAGCTTGGGTCTGCATCCTACTTCTAGCAGTCACTAGTTGTGGACGCACAGGCAAATTTCTTAGTCTCTCAAGGCATTTTTTTAAACTTGTAAAAGGGGAAAAATGTGCAAGTTCACCGTCAAAACTCAATGAGACAGTCATATAAAGTACCTGGCATATTCTGTAACTGACAGCCATAAAACTGAGAGGATACTGTCCTGTCTTCTTTATTCAGTTAAAAGAAGCATTCTATTTCCTAGCCCCCGCCAACACATAAGACTAGGAAAAAAAATTTAGACACTCCCTAACTTAACAAGAATTTTACATTAATCCTCTTTCAAAAACAGTAAGTTCTTTTAAAGAAATATTGAAAAGAAATCTTAGAATCTTGGTTAGGTGCCTCATGGAAATCAATTAGTAGGCTGATTTAAGATTAGTCAGTTAAAGCTTATTCTGTAACAAAAATTGCCAGATTCAGCAGATTTCCTTATTAATTCTCAACTTTTAGTAACCTGTATGTGATTAAATACTCAGTTCCTAGAAGCTTGGGGGGGGGGGACCATATTGGATAGATACGTTATTGAGCCAATGGACTCACTACTTGATGTGCCCAAAAGTGATGGCACTGACTTTTGAGAAAAGAAAGGCTTTATTGCTAGACTGGGCAGGAAGGAGATAGGCAGTGAGCTCAAATCTCCTTGATTTGCAGTCTAGGGCAAGTTCATGGGCTTAGAGGACCAGGGAAAGAATTTAGGAATGTTGGCTTGGCAGGGCTTCAAATTGGACGATTTGGGATATTCAACCTGCCACCCATACACAGGCTGATTTTTTGAGTATTTTTTTGCTTATTTGTGGCGTTAGACATCATGAAAAGTATACGTGGAACTTTTTTTGCTAATCAGCTATTGTTAGTGTTTGTATATTTAATGTTAGCCCAAGATTACTCTTATTCTTCCAGGATGCAACAGAGAAAAAAATTGGTTGGACACCCCTGATTCAGTATTAAGGAAGATTTTAGACCCAGATCCTCTAGCCAAGAGACCCTTGCTTCTGAAAAAGAGTTCCAACCATGTCCCAGTCTTCCTGGTGTCACTAGTTGTACATCAAATACCTAATTCATTATTAGACATCAAAGCTTTCTATTGTGCATGCTTGTGCTACATGACTTGTACCTTTTAAGCTCTATTATACCTAAAAGGTAACTTGACATTTTCTTAACAGCGTAGGCCCAGTTCAGGCTGGTCCCACGATTAGAAGACATGTCTGGCTCAAATTTAATTAGAAATTTATGGATTATCATTCCATTGTATTGGAAGCTATCCTATCCTCTATAAACTATGACTTTCACTTAAAAAAAAAAAAAGAATTTGTAGATCACTTTTAAGGATCAAAGAGCTAAAGCACAGAGAACCTATATGGTCTTTATTTTCATGGTGAGATTCTTCATAAACCAAAGCCTCAAGTGAGACCCTGGCACATACTGGATCATAGTAAACTCATAATTTGACTCTCGGATAAGAGCCTCAAGTGAATACTTTCTATAGTATAGGTAAAAGAGGAATTCATAATAAATAGCAGATGTACAGACAAAAGAGCTAAAACTGTTATTTTTCTCAAAAACAAGTAACTCTAAATATAACATTTCAAGCTAAACTCTCAAGAATTCTGTAGCTAAAAAAATGTTTACCAGCTGCTTTAATCATAAACATTGCCTGGGCTATGTGAAATGAAACCACAGATTAATATGTGTGAGCTATAAATTAAAACCTCCAAAAAAAGACAGAACTTAGGTAAATGGGGTTATTTAGAATTGTCCATTTACATTTTGAACAATGCTTGCTATTTTGTTTCCTACGGCTGCTTTAACAGTACTACAAAAGTGATGGGTTTTATACAACAGTAATTCATTCTCTCACAGTTCTGCAGGCCAGAAGTCCTAATTCAGTATCACTGGGCAAAATAAAGGTGTTGGCAGGAGTACACATGTTCCTGATGCCCTAGGGGAGAATCTGTTCCTTCCCTCTTTTATCTTGAGGTAAATGTCAGTATTCCTTGGCTTCTGGCCACATCACTCCAACTGCCTATGTGCTCACACTACCTGGTCTTCAGTCCACACGTGGTAACACTTAGCCCTGGCTTGGATAGTCCAGGATAATCTCATCTCAAAATCATTAATTTAATTACAGATGCAAAGATGCTTTTTTCCAAGTACAGTAACATCTGTAAATTCCAGGCATTAGAATGTGGGTAATCTTTTGGAGGACATTTTTTCAGCCTATCCCACCTACCAAAGGTAATAGTTAACCACAACCCACCAAAGAACATAACCAACCAACTCCCCACAGACTGTTAAGGTTTTATCCTGTATATAGTGTTTCCTTAATGTGTTTTTAAATTTTGCTTTGTTTTGGGAAAAGATACCAAAAAATATAATCATTCTTAAATTACTTAGATTATGCCATTTCCCTATAATGTATTTTTCTCCATTTGTTTTAGATATGCCTCCTTAAGCATTATGAAACAAAATTAAGAAGCTCTGTCTCCCCTTTTTAATAAGATAGTAATCTTTTTCTTTCA